TAAATATATACATGCATGTGTTTGTATTTATATATACATCATAAATATACACAGTATACACACATATATAATGTAAACAAAAACTTTTATTTTGGATGTGATTAATCGCGATTAATCGTTTGACAGCACTAATAATAATGTGTAATAAAAAGTTATATATATTTTATAAAAAGTTATAAAAATGTTGTATACATAATATATATAATGACTAAAAGTCATTATGTAAATTATATAGAAGACATAAAATTAATTATTTTATCTATTTTTATGTTATATTTATTCTATATTTATATACATATAAAATAAATGTTTTACTTATTAATAATTATATACTTATTAATTATATTCATTGTTTTATTAATTATTTTATTTATATAATAGCTGGGTAAGCACGAAAAGATCAGTAGAAAATTAATGTGTTAAAAATAGGGCCACGAGCACAGAAAGTCACTAACGTGTGTGTGTGTGTTGTTGTTGTTGTTACTGAGGCACAAACTGTATTTAGACTGAACCACGGTGCTGTTACTAGGTGGGTCTGTGCTTCCTGTCTGCCTCTTCATTAGAGCTCTTGTGATTAGTGTTGCTTTCGTCAACGAAAATTCTGACTAAATATCGTCGTCAACGAACATTTATCACGTGACGAATAGTCATGGATAATTCTGACTAAAATAAGACTAAAATGCTCAGACTTTTAGTTGACTAAAACTTGACTAGACTAAAAAGAATATGAACGTGACTAAAACTAATAAAAACTAATGACAGCTTCACACAAAGACTAGACTAAAACTAAAATTAAAACAGGCCGCCAAAAACAACACTACTTGTGATGAATCTCAATCTCTGCGTACATACACAACCATAGGCACAATAACATATGACAGCCATTAAGCATATGGACAGTCTGAGTGACACATTTCAGCTGTTATTGAAGGATGAAGCAGCTAACAGCAAGAGATGGCGAGAGAGAGAGAGATACTGGGGATCACAGGGTTTTAGCCAGGATCAGATAGTGGTTGCAGAGCTCTTAAAACTTCTGCGTTATCTTGACCTTCTCCAACCACACAGACCTACACATACACACGCTCAGTGTGTGTGTGTGTGTGTGTGTGTGTGTGTGTGTGTGTGTGCTGCAAAACACTGCAGTTCATTTCACATTTAAACAGACATTTATATATATGTCTTAAAGTGACAGCAGCAAAAACTGCTTGTTTCATTCTCAGGGTCATGATGAAATCGTAAAGCGTGATATGAGTTTGTACTTGTTTGGTAAAGCTGTAAGTGTGGAGATATGCGATCTCAAGCGCCTCTCTGATGTTTTGACTGCACAGGAAGCAAAACGAGAGCGATAGGGAGCGAGACAGAGACTTGTCGTGACAAGGAGATGGTGGTTTTCGGTCGATTGACGCTTGAGGGCAACAGGTGGGTGAACTGAGTGACCTGCACACATCTGGATCATACGCGCCTCTCACTGCAGCAATAAACACAAGATACTGCAGCAAGCGTAGTGTCTCACATGAGGCTCCTCTAGAGTTCCAGTAGGATCTCAACACAGTCTCACACTGCATTTAATCTCAATATGAATTCGTTTAACGTCACGTTCACTCAAGATGGCAACTACTAAATCATTTGTGTCAGTTTTTTATTTCTCCTCATAAATTTTAGGAGAAGTTGATGCTTAAATACACCTGAGAACACCATGAATTCTCCTGAGAAACTTCTGAGAAAAAAGAAAAAAAATTTGATAATATCTTCAAATATATTATATTATATTATATTATATTACATTATATTACATTATATTACATTATTTAGTGCTGTTAAACGATTAATCGCGATTAATTGCATCCAACTATATATTTATTATGTATATATAAATACACACGCATGCATGTATATATTTCAGACAAATATGTTGTTTATATATTAAATATATTTATATATAATATGAATTATATGAATATAAATATAGACATGGAAATATTTTCAAAATATATACTGCAAGTGTGTGTATTTATATATACATAATAAATATACACAGAACACATACATATATTATGCAAACAAAAACGTTTATTTTGGATGCGATTAATCGTTTGACAGCACTAATTATATTATATTATTAATAAATAAAGTTATAAATCATTTAGTACTTGAAATGTTCCTCTGAGATATTTTGAAGATGTCTTATTTTGATAATGTTTCCAAATATTATAGTTTAGAAACAATTCAGTACTATTTATTTATTTATTACGTCTGATAAGATGTTCCTCTGAGATATTTTGAAAACCTCATGGTGATATTCTCTCATTATGTAAGAGAATATTTATTTATATTTCTAAATATATGTATTTGTATAATTATATTATTTATATATTTGTAATTATATTTATTAATTATATTAATGTTATATTTTATAAAGAATGTAATACTATGTATATTATGTAAATATATACTGTACATTTATTTATTTATTTTAAATTTTTATCTCAATTCTTAATTGTCAATTGTCTTAATCTCTCCAATAATTTAATAATAATAATAATAATTTATTATTATTATTATTATTATTATATTTAAAATGTATGTATTTTCATTTATTTATATATGTCCAAATATTTTTTATATTTTATAAATAAATAAAAACCATGTAGTAATAATAATAATAAATAGAAGAAGCAGTTGAATATTAAAACAAATACATAATTATGTTTTATATATAGTTATATATAATTGTAATATATATTATAGGATTATATAGTTTTATATATAAATATATTTATTTTTTACACAGTTTCATATATAGTTATGTATAATTTTAATATATTTATTTGTATATGTCTAAATAAATCTCACAAGTCTTCCTCTGAGATATTTGAAGATATCATGTCTTGATAATCTCTCAATCAGTGAAACGTGATGAATATTAAAGGGGTCATATGATGGATTTGAGACTTTAGTCTTTGCAACTTTACAGATCTTCTTTATGCACCAAGAGCTTGTAACACTCCAAAGAGAAAGGAACAATTGAAATCGCATCATATGACCCCTTTAACACGTCTGAACAGCTATAAATCTCACTCTCTTCTGGAAACATTGCTCTTCTCCTGTGGCGAGTGTGTTGAGGTGTGTTGTCTGACTGGCAGCTCGGTGAGTAAGTTGTGGTTAATGTGTCAGAGTTTTGCACGGGCCGACATTGATTTATACCCCTCGACAAAGAAACACATAGCAACAAACGGTGTCTCGCTTTGTGACACTTCACTCTCTGAGCGCTGCAGTCCTCATGAAGATGGATGAGCAGCCGTGACATCCTGTGTTATCTCGCTGTCTGCCGCCCCACAGAAAAATGTTTCAAGAATAACAGCGGCTGAGTTTGGCTTTGACGCCTCCAGAGGGGCTGGAAATTACTTTTCAATGAGCTTAAGAAAGTACTATAGCCTCCACTGAATATTGAACAGCCTTGTGTTTTCATCAGCCACAGAAGACGCTTTTAGAACTTACGAGACTTCAATTTTTTTTAAATTGTAAGTAAAAATATCTGAACATCCTTAAAACATGATAAATTTTACTTGAAGGTATCAAGACACTTTTTCAGACAGAATGTCTTTATTATTTCCCTATTGATTATTTGTCTTTTGTTGTCATTGTTTTAGACTAATCTCACTTAAATGTAGTAAGTTTTATGTATAGAACAAACAAAAAAAATCCTAAACTTAAGCTATATTATATGTATATGTATATATCTATAGCTATAGATGTTTTATGTTTATATAAGTTGTATGTTATTTTACTGGAAAGTTAAATTAATTAATTTACTGTTAGTTAATTTTGTTATTTTTCCAGTAAATTAGTTCATTTGCTGAAAAAAAAACAAGATTAAAAATAATGTTTGGGATATTTATTTATTTCATTTATTTATTTATTTTTAAATTTAATATATCAGAGAAACTTTTTTGATCAGACTTGTGATATATTACATATATATTAATATATAATTATAAATATTTATATATTCAAATAATATTAATAATAATAATGTAGTACTGAATAATTTATAAAATAAAATATAATAAATTATTTATAAAATATTTATTGAAAAATACAGTATTTGGAGAGTTATATTTAATAATAATAATAATAATAATACATTTTGTAAATATTTATTATTTTAAACTATTTATAAAATATTTTGAGAGATTATAAGACAAGTTGTAAAAACATTTTCAGGATTGTTTGATGGATAGAAAGTTCAAAAGAACAGCATTTAGCTGAAATAGAAAGCTTTTGTAACATTAAACACTACCGTTCAAAAGTTTGGGGTAAGTCATTTATTTCGAAATTTATTAAAGAAATTAATACTTTTATTCAGCAAGGATGAAAATAAAGACATTTTTAATTGAACTTTCTATTCGTCAAAGAATCCTGGGGCAAAATATGTATGTGGGTGTGTGTGTGTGTGTGTGTGTGTGTGTTATCTTGTTAATTCAAGCAAAGTATGCGATATTGCTGAGATCCGGAACTCCAGAGGAAACTCATGTGACATCACAGAGGTGTTTTTCTCAGGAGAAACATCTGAGAAGCAGGAGATTTAGCAAAAGCAGGTGTAACAGACATTTGAGAGATCTCATTCATTAAAACTGATTCTGGTAAATCTGGTAAATCAAGACGTGTCAGACCAGACGTTTGATTTCCCGTGAAGCGGAAGCGACCACTAAAACCAGTCGAGAACTTGCAAAATCTGGAAAATCAGCCTGATTGTGTTTGCTGTGACTTTTCATAATGTTGTTTGTGAAAACTTCATCTGAAAGGCATTAGCGAGTGCATCACAATTACTGATGTAAACGGCAGGAGCACAGAGCTGTGTTTAGGCTACAGTCAGAGCGCGATCAACCCAGACGGCGTAAACACGCGTGTACGTTCACACACGTCCTCGCATGTTTACACACACTGGCATGTATACATTTGATGGCTCTCACACACGTAAACAAACTCAAACACCGCGTTCTGCGACACGGTTTATTACAGGGCGAGTCTCGCCGTCCGATGGGAACTGACTCATCAGCTCCGTGTCAGAGTGGAAGCACCGCTCTAAACTAAAACAAATGTCTTGAGTTTTCCAGGTTTTCCCGCATGTTCCCTCCTCAGCTGTAAAGCATTCCCTGTAAGAGAATGATTGTTAAAGAAACGATGCGAGAACAGGGGGTTAAATGTTTAGGTTTAATGAATTTATGGAATTCCTTTCTGTGGCACTTAAGTTGACGGACTCAGTATTTTTTGGTTTATTGTTCCTGTATAACCTGAAGGATGCATTTCTGGGATCATTTGAGTCATGCTCTGTTTCTTCATACGTGGCATTGCATCATACTGTAGTCTGGATTTCACCTTTTGACCTTTGCGTTTCCTGACTTTTCTAGTCATTCTGAATAAGGATTTTAAGAATAATTTCATAAATATTACACTCCAAAAGACCAGTCTCTATATACTAGAGCTGAACAGATTTTTTTTTTTTACCAAGTACATTTTTTTTTTTACATAATTTTCAACATTTTCAATATTGTCTGTTTCCAACATTTCAGTATCTATCTATCTATCTATCTATCTATCTATCTATCTGTCTGTCTGTCTGTCTGTCTGTCTCTGTCTCTCTCTCTGTCTGTCTCTGTCTCTCTCTCTGTCTGTCTCTGTCTCTCTCTCTGTCTGTCTCTGTCTCTCTCTCTGTCTGTCTCTGTCTCTCTCTCTGTCTGTCTCTGTCTCTCTCTCTGTCTGTCTCTGTCTCTCTCTCTGTCTGTCTCTGTCTCTCTCTCTGTCTGTCTCTGTCTCTCTCTCTGTCTGTCTCTGTCTCTCTCTCTGTCTGTCTCTGTCTCTCTCTCTGTCTGTCTCTGTCTCTCTCTCTGTCTGTCTCTGTCTCTCTCTCTGTCTGTCTCTGTCTCTCTCTCTGTCTGTCTCTGTCTCTCTCTCTGTCTGTCTCTGTCTCTCTCTCTGTCTGTCTCTGTCTCTCTCTCTGTCTGTCTCTGTCTCTCTCTCTGTCTGTCTCTGTCTCTCTCTCTGTCTGTCTCTGTCTCTCTCTCTGTCTGTCTCTGTCTCTCTCTCTGTCTGTCTCTGTCTCTCTCTCTGTCTGTCTCTGTCTCTCTCTCTGTCTGTCTCTGTCTCTCTCTCTGTCTGTCTCTGTCTCTCTCTCTGTCTGTCTCTGTCTCTCTCTCTGTCTGTCTCTGTCTCTCTCTCTGTCTGTCTGTCTCTGTCTCTCTCTCTGTCTGTCTGTCTATCTATCTGTCTGTCTCTGTCTCTCTCTCTGTCTGTCTGTCTGTGTCTGTCTGTCTGTCTCTGTCTGTCTGTCTGTCTGTCTCTGTCTCTC